ACATGATGCATGAAGGATTTGGTGCACGAATAGGATGCAAAAATGTCTCTAAAGTTCTAGGTGCAACTACTTCTTCTCTCATTTCATTATTCACAATTTGAGCATTAATCTCTTGTTCATTATTTGCAATTTCTTGTTCATTAAACACAATTTCAGCCATGGTTTCAGATTTTTTTGACAAATCTTCCTAGATGATTTCTAGGTCGCATAAAGTAAATAAATAAATAAACAAAAACAAAAAAAAACAAAAAAAAACAAAAAAAATTATAAAAATAAAATAAAATAAAATTGAACCCATGAAATAGATTATCAAACATTCATCAATTAATTAAAAAGAAAACTACAAATTCCATTTGAACAAAAACTACAAATTCACATTAAAGCTTAAGTTTGGATCAAACTAATAAAAATTACACACTTATATTAAAAGCTTTCTCCCTAGCCTTAGCTAGGGAGTTAGTTCCCCATAATAAAATAAAACTAAAAACAGAAATTAAAACTTAGAAAGATGGAGAGAAGAGAGAAAGCTCAAGAGTTGTGGAGCTTGGTGTGGTTTGAAGGCTTGTAGAGCTTCCTATTTATAGCCTTAAATCTCAACAACTAGGGAAATATTAAAATCTAAAATTCTCATCTCATTCAATGCACAACCGTAACCCTCATCTTAATATTTCTTCTTTTCTTCAATTGTTGCTCCACTTCTACTTGCTTTTGTTATTCAATCTTTTCTTTTGGTTAAGTGTTGCACCTCTTCTCATCATCCTTCATTTCATTTGCTTAACTCACAATTTTAATAGTTCATGATTCCACATCTTCAAGCCACCATCTTGTTTGTTGCTTCATCCACTCCATGCATGAATTGAATATGTCTTCCACTTGCCATCAAACCAATTGCCAATTTGCTTCCTTTATTTATTTCATAGTGTTGATGACTCCATTCTCCAAGTTCTTCATCTTTTTGTTTCATTGGTTGTTGCATCCATTTGCCTACTAGCATCCAATGATCTTCTTCAACCTTAAGATGAAATCATCATCAATTATGTAATGGGTATGTAAGCAAGTGCAAAAGTGAAAAACAAACCTAATTAACTAAAATTGTAAGAAAATCAATTACTAACAAATATATTTAGGGATAATAAATGTGATAGTTTATGTGCTCATCATGCGAATATCTTACGCCTTAAGAAATCTTAAATTTTCATAAAGACTTGTGCTCCAAGTGGGGAGCTGGCCTGAATTGGTTCTTTTCTATGCATGGTTTGATAAGGACTTCAATATTCCACTCTTACGATATAGAACTCAAAAGTACACAAAGTAATGGCAGAGAAATCAGACTAAAACTCGGTCCGAATGGACATTGCAAAGTAGGAAAAGCCAAATGAGTCTGATAAGACTGATATATAGCAAAAGGAAAGAAATCAGACTGAGGGAACCTTAGTTTGGAGTAACTAAAATGAGAGTTGAATAATCAAACAAAGTAATCACAGATGGGATTGTTCGTCAACTAGAAATGATACCAACAAAGAGCGAAGGCAAAGCAAAAAAATAAAGGATTTATGAAGAGTTGTCGATTGGAAACAAAAGAGTGAAAACAAGAAGGTTGTTGAGAAACTTGAGACCAAGTTGATCAATTTGAAATTGGTTTGAGAGATTGAGAGAGTACATGATTCAGCCTCAAATTTCTAATAATATAGTGCCACTTAATAGCCATAAGTTTGAGTGGGATTTGATATGGTTTTAGACCTTAACTCTTAAAGAGCATTTAAGGCCATCTCCAGCCATGAGCCATAGGCCAAATATAGTCCTAAAATAATGCAAAACCCATCTCCAGTCATGGGCTAAAAAAAAATTTGGCTAAATTTGGAGGGCCACATTTAGCCCTTTAGCCCTCCAACTAGGCCAATTGTAGCCCAACTTTTTGTGAGCCCCATGCATGTGCTTTTCAAGAAGAGAAATTATCAAGTGTGGGCAAGAGCACGAAACATCTCGTGCAAATGCATATCCAACAACCAATATTAAGAGTGCGCTGACATCATCAATGAAGTCAGCTAGCCGTTAATGCATATTTTTTTTAAAATAGCCTTTTTAAATGTTATCAACATATACATGTCATATATAGAATATTGTCTCTAAATAGTAGTTTAATTAAATTAAATAATGCATAGTTGTGGAATATATGAGTGTTGTACCATAGTTTTTCTCAAAAGAATAAAATATGAAGGACCCTAAAATATAGTCCTGGATGGTTGGAGATGAAAAAATTTAGCCCTATACTATTCTTTAAAAAATTAATATTTTGAAGGGCTAAATTTATAACCCTGGACTACATTTAGCCCTATAACTGGAGATGGCCAAATGTTTTTCCTAACTTGTACTTTCAAGCTAAACCCATGTAAGACATGAAGGCTTTAAAACCTTTGCTGATTTTGGACCCACTCCCACATGGCCTATTTTCGGCTCTATTGGGTATTATACATATATGAGGTCCAATTTTCTACTTTTTTACTTTGAAGCCATGGATTTACCCAAAGTCCATTTTGGCCCAAACAATTCCTACATGAAAAACATAGTGACAGTATGCAATGGTAAAAATACGAATAAAATCGTGTATTATTATGCAAATTATTTTTAAAAAAAATAAGTCAAGAAATACAGTCATTATAATATTTTAATATTATTTATTTGAACATTTTAATAGTCTTTTTATTCAATATAATACGTTAATTTGATATGTACTATTCAAGCATTTGTTAAAAAAAAAAAAGTGTAGTAAAAATAAAATACATACATATATGTATAATACATTTGATTTGTTTTATATAATACGCAAATTTAACTAAGCTGACATTATCACCTAGTCGTTAAAATTCATTTTTTCTTTTGGGTATGCCCAAAGATGCTCAATGTTTTTGGAGCCCCTTCAGAGATCAAGCAAGGAGCTGCCTATTAAATAAGTGTCCATGAAGCTAATGGTATTGAAGAGCACGCATATCATGCAGCCTGTCAAACAAAATCAATGTCCATGAAGCAACTTACATGTAATTCTACTACTTCAAGCCTGAACAAAGTCCAAACCAAACCAAGAAAAGTGTATTAAATGTTCTTCAATCAGATAAATCTGAATCCATTTTAGCCTTCATCCTATTCTCAGAAGCTCCATGGTCATTTCAGGTGACAAGCACCCTTCGGTGTCCACCTTCCATCTGTAACTGTAACCACCATATCTACATCCTTCTAGTTGGCAATTTCAAGTGGATTCCACCCTTGAAATAGGGTGACTACCTTCAGAATTTCTATCCTACATGCATTTATACTCGGAAGGGTTTGATTCCCTCCATTGTAAATGGTAAAAAAAAAAAAATTTAAAGACGGAAAAAAAAAGTAGGTGTGGAAGGCAGAGAATACTCACAGCTATGGTTGAACTACCATTGCAACTCTTAGTCATGTACATAGGGATTTCATGGTAGTTATACAGTTACTAGAAACAAGCATGTTTCTCTAATAACAATATTTATAAGACAGAAATTTGCCGCAAGCAAGTATTACAAAACTATTGCACATAATACGTGATACATTAGATGTAGATGGGACAGAGAAACCTTGTTCCAACAGCCAGAAGAAATGTGAAAGGCCGTCAGAGTCTCATCTCCCACATTTTTCACATTGTATCCAAAAGAAAAGACAGTTTTATCTGATAATAATGACCCTAATACTCACAATGATTACAATTATCACTGTCGCCCATTTCCAGGCGTTGACCATTGAGGCAGCACTCTTCCACCAGCATTCTGATTAGTTTTCATATCCGAAGCATTCACTTCAAAGTCATAGCCATATAAGTCTAGTTCATCGTCTATCAATTGGGGGTAATCTGGCTCCGCAAAACTATAGGCCTCAATAGTTTTGTTCTGCCTCTTTGGTGCCCTTTTCTTCGACCGATCTGTGCTTTTGGTGAAGTCGTCGTCATCAAAAGTTTCATTCCCATTGTTGTTGCCATCTCTTTTCCTCTTTATATCATTACTGTCATTGCTACTGGTGCCGTTTTTATCTGTTTTGTAGTATTCCTTTATGGCAGCTTCAATTGTTTCAAGTATCCGATCTCCATACTTGCCCAACTTACCCCTGAATTGAGCCAAAAATGTTGAGTATATTTTTTTTAGGTAGGCAGAAAATAATCTTGGTACGGTATAACTTACTTGCCAATGCCATTTATTTCAAGGAGTTCCTCCTTTGTTCTAGGAATTCTGCTGCTCATGTTCTGCAGCGTGGTATTCCTGACTCAAAAAGAACAGCAACTTATCAGAAGATATCATCTAAAGATCAAGGGACAAGCAGACGCTTATAAAGACCCCTCGTTATAAAATTCCAACTCTGAATGATTAGCAACTTTTCCCAAGTGGTTTCCTTCCTCTCCTCCGGAAACAAATTGGTACTAAATAGATTTATTCTATTAAGTCGCAAACAAAAATAAAAAAGAGTAAGAATCTTACGCAAATATGTGGTATGCCATGACCCCATCAGCAGATTCTCTAACGAGATTAGTTCGAAGCATTTTCAAAGAAGTAAATATTTTGGTAGATAGATCCTGTTATGGAATTTAAAAGAAATTAATTAATTGATATAGCTCGATTCAGCCCTCATGGTAGTCAGATATTTCATCAAGCAGAATAGGGTACTGACAAAAGGAATAAATATACATGTACATATGTGTCTTGCCAACATACATATATATAAAACATATGTATATGTGTATCCATGTATCATGTGACAGAGATCTGTTTTTGCTGGCTATAATGAATGATATTGACACATTATCAATTGCATATCAATAGTCCATTCTTTAATAAACAACGGACGTCCATTCCATAGTCACACTATATATATATAGATCAGATGTCCTGCATAGAGAATTTACGTTTATATATAATATACATAAATCTACTAGTATGAATATACCGAATTTGCTTTGGATTGAGGTTGTTCAGTGCCAATATGTGGAGGACTCTGCTTCCCAGATGTCAGTGAGCCTTTAGCTGAAATCACTTCAGAGTTTTTCTGTTTAGAAGCTTTTACGGAAGAAGGGAATCTACAATGTATTTAAGATGTCAGTCTCAATAGTGTTGTGTGCATTTTTGTACAGCAGAAAATAAACAAAATTACAGACTTAGATTGAAATGCACAAGAATATAAACACTTTGGTCAAAAGAAGTGTTTCCCTCTTTGCAGACAACTAGGCTCAAACAAGTATTTCGTAGCATGTGTAATAAGATTAAATAGAAAGAATATATTTCAGTTATTTAAGATTAGCCAACAACACAAAAACTTAATCAAATAAGTTGTGCCCATGAAAGACATTTAGATAAGCCAGAACCTATCCAAGATGTTATTCTTAGTTGTAAAAGACCTAATTATTCTACACAAGCAGGCATGTTCATCGCAGTCGAAGGGCCTATGGCAAACCTGACTAGAACCTAGCAACCAAAACACCACATAGAGCACATCCAATGTCCCATCAGCTGCAAAGTATAATGATTTTAGTATTCAAAAAACTACAAAACCTCCCCCAATATTGCATGCATCTCTAAGAAATTGACCAACTTATGATATATAACCAACACTTGAGAAGGGTAAAAAATGAAAGTAAAGAATGTGTCCTAACAGTTTTACTACACAGTTTAGGGGAGACCACTCAAGCTGAACAGGGAATGGGCCTTATGAATAAGGTGGATCTACCACTTGGCTGTTCCTATTTGATAGTAATAGTATTGGACACTCCTGCACATGCATGGTTGATGGAGATAAAAAAATTCCCCAAGGATCTAATACAAAAATCTTTCACATATTAATACAATACTCACATGGAATAAGTAAACAGAGTAGTGACAATAAAACAGAAAGACGTATGTCTAACAAGCCAAACCTTATTAGAATTGTCTTCCTGCCAGAGAAAAGTTCACACGCTTTCAATTCATTAACCTGAAAACAAATGAAAAATGACACATGTAATTTCTATAAATAAAAAGGAAAAACAGATGATGACAACAAGTGGCAGTTTCTTGCATTTCTTTCTCTTTTCAAGCACGATCATCTTTAATGAAAAAAGCAGCATGAGCCATTTGAAGGAATTAGAAGTACCTTTAGTATTGATGATACAGATCCATAAATATCACTTTTCTTGACTTCCTCCGCAAGAAGGTCCTCAGTAACAAGATGACGTAATACACGGGAAGCTTCACCCTTGGCTAGATGTTTTCCCACTCCATGCAAGCTCACAGTCTGATGCCTGTGTTTCTTGACCTAACATTGCAAATATACCATCAAAGAAGATAATGACAAAAAGTAGAAAGGACAGTGCATGTCTTCAAGTTGAAGCATACAAATTGGCTAAAGGAGCCCCTGTAGACTTCAAGAATATGAGATGACGAAAACTGCTGCCCTGTTAACTTCACCAGTTCAACCTAAGCACAACATGTGGCAAAAGTGACTACCCAAACAATGCAAGGATTGCAAAATTTTACAAGGAAATGATAGTCATAATATAAACTTTGACAAACATCTCCCAAAAGAAGCAACTCAAAAATTATAAAAGTTTCAAACCAGTTGCTTTGCAATCCCTGTGACATCCTTCTCCACGAAACTTTTAATCTTCAAACAATTATCACATGTCTTTTTGCATGTTGTACAATCAAATTTTTCTCCAAGATGAATAAGCTGTAGAATTCGTCGGCAATCAACATCGTTTTCACAATAACTGACCTGAGAAAGTTCAAGTCATTAATTTAGTACATATTTGTTAAACAAGAAATATATAATAATAGAAACCCCCAAAACTACACATGAATCAAGTACCATGCGCAAAAGATTTTCGGTATTTGTTTCCAGTACTCTCCCAGAATTAGCTGTATTGGTACGATTGTATCCAGATGCCAATGGGCTTTGCTCTATAACTCCTTGGCTAATCATATGTTTAACTCGAATCTGCAAAAGAATTGTAGAGACAGACAAGCAGAATACAAATGAAAAAGAATGAAAGAACACGTTAATCACTACTGTTTTAGCATGATCAAACAGTCGAATGCAAACTCTTCCTTTTTTTATTTTCTGTTTTTTCATTTATTGCTTGACATAATTGTCTCAGCACCCCAAACAAGTCTTGAACTGGCCACATCACCCTCCCCCACATAACCATGGGGGCAGGACATTATGAGAGGACATGTCATTTGACCTAGAGGCCATTCGGGTTCCAATGCATGCCCATTGTCCAAATACAGAACTGACAAGAACCGAGTAGACATTAGTTTTACTACTGCAACTTACATAGTCACTGTAACTGTAATACAACACACAAGATGAACGCTGACCATCTCTACCAGCTCGACCACACTCCTGAAACATAGTGATGCAATGAGCTAAAAGAAATCAGTAATCTAAGCTTTCATACATAAAACATTACTAAGAAATAAGCTCAGAAGCATTAAGCTAAATTCCAAAAGTTCACAGTTTCACATCTAGATTTTGCAATCTCAAAGAAGCAATTTAATACAATATGATACCTGATGATAGCCTTCGATAGACTTCGGGAGAGAGTGATGAATTACAAAGCGTACATCTGGCTTGTTGATACCTGAATTCCAATTCCAATGTTAGTAATAGCGACCTTAATTAATCCAGACAGAAATCAGCAAAAGTTTATGTACCCATTCCAAATGCCACTGTAGCACAGATAATGTTGATTTCATCTTTACTCCACTGCTTCTGGACAAAGGCACGCTGAGCAGGATCCATACTACCATGGTAAAATGCTGCTTTATGTCCACATTCCTGAACAGGTACACTCTCAAATGAAACTTAATTCTTAGAGAAATAAATCACAACATAATTTTTTTTTTTAAATACTCATGATGCTAACATTTCTTTTTATCTTTAGCACACAACATGCATGCAATAAGTTTTCTTACGAATTAAGAACTTTTAAAAATATTATGCATCACCTTTTACATCAGGAACATCAAACATACATTTTTAATGTTATTGATTAAGCAAATGACCAGTCTCCATGTCAAACTTGGAAAAATTGTTTGTATAAAGAAAAAGGAAAAAGAAAATCTCTAAAGGTTAGTTTGATTCCCTCTCCTCACGAAAAAGAGAAGAGTAAGGAACACAATTCCAAAATGATATTCATGCCAAAGAGGAGCTGATTTAACTTTAATTGTTGAACTTTCCCAGACATCAAGGGTTCTTAGACTATGTTCCCAAGTTTTCTGTACAGCACATAAATTTCTTAGACTATGGCCCGCTCCTCAAGCAATACAGATTTCTGTACTGAAATTTGGCGAGAACACCAAGTTACTGAACAGAAAAATCTGCCCAAATTTTTCTCTGCAAAAGTTGCTAAAAGTTACATAAACAGAACAGATGCAAGAAATTTTATTGGCAGTTACATGCAAATCATAGAAGCCTGGAGTTTCTAACCAAGCTTTCATATATAAACTTGAGTTGCTAAACCCATAACGACAAAAGAAAGGTATATCTCCATGTCCCTTTGGCAACACGCATTTTAAACATCATTTTAGCAAAATAGGCAGAGAAAGTGAAAAAATATGTATATCAAAAGTCATAGATTACACAATTAACAAACAGTAGCTAAATTTTCATGAAGCAACAACTGAATAAGCAACAATAACGACTTTCTAGTATAAAATACAGAAACAAAAAATAATAAGAAAACAAGACTTCCATTCAACTACAAAGAGATCATGATAAAATCAAACCTGCAATCTCTCAGCAACTTTTTCACAGTCCATTCTTGAGAGACAATAAATTATTCCACTTTCATCATAATGATTTTCTTTAATGAACTTATCGATGTCATCTAGACACTTCTTAGTCTTGGGAATAACTGAATACCTGTGACGAACAGAATGAATCATAATTTCAACTTTGTATGACAGTTTGGGAAAATTTATGACTTCAACATAGATCAAAAGTTTATCTTTGTTCAACACTTGCCATAAATTTGGGCGATTAAAACTTTGCCGGAAAACAATGCAGTTAACAAGACCAAGAGCTTGCACAACATCCTCTTTTACACTAGCAGTTGCAGTAGCTGTTAAAGCTAACACTGGAGTATTTGGGAACTTCTGTTTCAAGATACCAAGAGCCTGGACATTTTAAAGAATAGCTTGACATTAAATGGAAAACAATCAAGAAGAAAAATCCAATCATCACGAACTTGAAATTTTAATAAAGCCCCTACCTGATAATCTGGTCTGAAATCATGCCCCCACTGACTCACACAATGAGCTTCATCAATAACGATCCTAGCAAGCATCTGACGAGCATTTAAATTCTCCAACTGCCGTAAAAGAACATCACTTCTGCAGAAAAAAACAAAAAAAAAAAAAAAGATTGGTATCTTAAAAAGTTATGCAGGATTAATTACTTACTTAAACTATCTTTAAAAAAAAAGTAATTACTTAAACTATGACATTCATTTCAATATGCAATTGAAACAGAAAATATAATAAGGCTGGGAACAAAAACTTGGATCACCCAATTCGCTATTGCCATAAGTATTAACAGTAATAGAGTTGGTTGATAAAGGGGAGAGGAACAAATAATTAAAAACTCAAGGTTGGCAAATAATGAACTAGTTTTAAGGTTGACTTGCACACATACTATGTGCATAGAAAATTGTGAATTTGTGAATGAAATTATAGAAAATATAATTACTGAGAGGAAAGAGGCACCTGAACTAACCAGTAAATATCACATTCACTGTGGACAAGAAGTAACAACACTCATAATTTTTAAAAGATAGTTGGGTAGGTGAATTACCTTTGTGCTCAAGATTTCCTTCCAAATTATAGGATGGCTGAGTTCGCAGAGTAGGTGAGGTCAAGTGGATTAGAATTTTCGATTTTGAAGAAACTTAGGAGAAGAGGAGATTGGGGAGCCTGCAGCTCTATTGACAGTTTTGGAGAATTTTCAGCTGTTAACACGTAGGCCAGATGGGAGGAAGCAGAAACTAGATTCATCAGGTCTTCTCTTGTAAGAGTTTGAAATTTTCTGTCTAATAAGCAATCGCTGCCTGTGTTCCAGCCTGTTAAAATGATTTGGAAATCTAATGTTCCTATTAAGGTTCATGTTTTGGGTTGGATCATAGCTTATGGAAGAGTAAATACTTGCAATTTGGTACAAAGAAGAAGATTCAATGTTTGTATTTCTCCTCACAGCTGCATTTGTGCAAAACAGAGGCAGAATCTGGAACTCAATTGTTTTTACATTGTCCATAACTTCATATGCATTGCAGCTGTGGTGGCGGTTAGTCAAGGAGGCAAGGGTTAATTGGTTTCAAACATGCTTTGTGAAAAGTATGTCTTTTGGTGGCGGAAGGAATGCAAGAATTCGTGGAATTGCGCTGTGTTAGCTGTCTTTTGGGTAATTTGGTTGGAGAGAATTAGAAGAAAATTCGAGAACTATAGTGGAGATATAGAAGAGAATTCTAGGGAAAGAGTCAGGCTTTGGGCATCCTTACAGGCTTCTCTTTCTCCAGCTTTTAGGGATCTTTCACTTTCTGTAATTTTATTAGATAGGGGAGCTGTTGTACGATAGTTTTTAGAGTTCTTTTAAAATGTAGGTGTATTTTGTATTTGCTTGTTAGAACTGTATCATTTTGATGGCGGACTTCTGGTTCACTAAGTTTTGTATGGTGATTGTAGTCCTTTAATAAAATTGTCTCTCATAACTTTTTTTTATATTGTTAAACAAATTATGAGAGAGATAAAACATTTTATTAATCTATGAAATACTAAGACTTCTAAAGAATTCCTAGTCTTTTGGTGAGTGCTGAATATAATACCAGAAAATCCCTGATTCAGTAGAAAACCAATTCTGATTTTCTACAGTGTGCTATGATAGGCATTCAACTTGAATTTTCAATCCAATCTTTCTTATAGGACATGATGATTTTATTGAGAAAAGAGGCAGTTAAAAAAATGGATGTTTAGTCCATCAAACAATTAAAGACACAACCTAAACAAGAAAGCTCAAAAACCGCTCGACGAAGCACTCCCCACGAATCAAGGAGAATTTTTCAATTGAACTGAAAAACATAAACATAAACACAGGCTCTATAGACCAGAAGAAATTTAGCTAAAGAAATGCCCATGATAATAACACCAATAATAATAATTCTATCAAACCTGCGAATTGCATAAGTATGATTTCCATTCTAGCACCATTTTGATTAAAAGCTCAAGGAGGAATATCAACTTCACAAAATATATCTGTTTAGCAGGACAGTCAGCATGTCATAAAACTCTCCCATAGAAGGTTTATCAAGAGCCTATTCTGGATTACCATAAGCTATCAATGACTCTGTCATTTTAGTGCCAAGAAACTAAATGCTACTTCACACTGCCCTTATTAGCATACAATAACTTACTTATTTCAGTTGTAAGATTATAATTATCATGTTCGACATACCTAAAGTGTTGCTGTTGAAGTAGCAGAGGACATACAAATAAAGTGTTTGCAAGTATTAGATAACGAAAACTCACTTCGCAACTTTCTCTGGGGTGACATATAACAGCTTGTATTTACAATATTCAGAATTAAGCTCTCTAAAGATTTCCTGTTGTTCAGTCCACTCCATATTGGCACTTAGGTAAGCAGCAGGAATGTTTGCCTAGGGTATGCCAAAAGAGAGGACATAAGTACGCACTGTTGGATAGCAGGAAGTAAAATAATCTAAATGAACTAAAGGCTGGAAAAAAAAAAAGAAAAAAAAAAAAACATTACCTGCAATAAATGCATTATTTGATCTTGAATAAGTGACACAAGGGGAGAAATTACCAATGTTACTCCTGGACAAATTAGGGCAGGGAGCTGCAAGATACAGAAACCAAAGTAAACCCTATAAACTGTTTAATGTCTGTCTAGTTTCCTGCAAAGAGGGAACCAACTCCGCGGGAAACAAATAAAGGAGATGCAAGTTACTTGGCCTATATATTGCGGGAAAGGTAGAAAAGCTAAAGAGCTTCTGGCCAAGAAACTGAACCGATAAACTAAGCATACCCACAAAATCAAACTACTTACAAACTTAAGATGACCAAACCATAGAACTGCTCCTAGTGAACGGTATATGTGGTAGGCCTTAAAATGAAAGGAACATAATTGGTAACGGCTTTGAAAAAAATTATTTTACCTGATATGTCAAGCTCTTACCCCCTCCAGTTGGCATTAAAACAAAAACATCATAGCCACTCATCGTAGCATTAATGACCTCTCTTTGGTTGAGGCGAAAGGAGTGATTTCCAAACACTTTCTTGTTATTGGCCTGAAATTGATAGCAGTGAAACAACAATTACGAATTACAATGACAGGTAATGCCAATATGAAATATGAGAATGATTTAGATGAGCACCTCCAGCTTTTTGGTCCATGGGAAATTATTACCACTCCACTTGTTGTCATTAGAACCTTCAATGTAGTTAACTTCAACAAACTTTGGGATGTATGGTTCCCTCTCAACAGGACAAGATGAGAAACCAAACCCATCCACAGAAGAGAATGAAACTGATGACGAATTACATCTTTCATAATCTCCTGGGACATTTTGTGATTGAACCTGTGAATCAAATCTCATGGTCTCAGTCCTGAATGCAGCTGCTTGAGGTGTTTCATATTGGAAAGGCCTGGGAGTTGCTGTGGATGCAGAAAAATGTGACTTCCGTCTTTCCTCATCCAATGAGTTGTTACAAAGATATCTCTCGAGCTGCTGAATCTTCTTATTAAGCTGTAACCTAACAATGGGAATACACTGTTTTCCTTCATCTATTTGTAAAATATAAAAAAATTATAATGACTGTGAAACAACAAAACAACAAAAATATTCTGAAGCTTTGTGAGCTCTATATGACTTGTAGAGAGTCTAGGGACCCATAATTTTTTTTGTCTCCATCCCATTATTTTCCTTCACTGGTTTCTTTTTACGTACAATTCCCTCTGTATATCTAGCTTGACTCTCACAAAGAAATTCAAATAACAATGAAAGTGTGTAGTATGCAAACCTATCTTGGCGAAGCTTCTCTATTCGCGTTGGACTGAGATCATTAACATCATCAAGCAGTTCATTGGATATGATAATTAGCGTGTCCTTCATTTCCTGCAAATGACTTGCAGCTTCTGGGCAAAGTCCTATCTGTATTAGATTCAGGAATTAGGCACATCAAGCTGACCGCATAATTAGATAGAACCACAAAAAGCAAAATACGGATGACAAGCATACCTTAAACCCATGAATGCAGTTTGAGCACAAATCTGGAGGCAAACTAGTCACCTCTTGTCTTGCAATGTTATCTTTATCTATAGATGGAGTAATGGGTGGAAGCTTAGAGATCGATGGTTGAGGTGTGCAACTTGATTGGTACTGTTCCACTATCTGGTCAACATCAATATTCTGAAACCAGAGTAAATGCATGAGATAGATGAGTGCAAAGAAATCAGCACTTGCATAAATCAAGACACCATAAAATAAGACTTGAAGCAAATAGAAACATAACACCTCATTCACCAACATCCACACAAGTAGGCCAAATGATATTGAACAAGTAACATGGATTCACTAGATGTACTTTAAGTCAATATCCAAAATAATGCATAATTAAAGGTGTAAGAACGACATACTGGTTAGAAACTTTTCATTTCTGATTTTAACAATAGTAGCCATATTCAGCAGATATTTACAAAAACAGCCAAATTAATACGCAACAATTAAACCACAATGATTTAAAATAGTTAAATGAAATTTATGAATTACCTCAAGTATTTCATCATCATCATCGATGTCATTAACCAAAACTTTTGCAGAGTGTTTTATTTGGCTGGTATGGACACTATTGTTGCTAAATGATCCTCCTGGAACCCGAGAATCAAAATTGTTGACCATTGATGCTCTGACCTGACTTTGCCCCCCAAAAAAATTTCCCACATCTGCAACATTAACATTACTCGACGGAAAATGATTACCCAAACAAGTTGCAGCTTCACTGTTCCTGGAATTGGTTCCATTCATGTGTTGATGTGTTTGCATATGTGTGCGACTCTTATCAATGTCACATGAGCTTGGCGTAGCAGTTCTTCCAACATCACGACAATACCTGGAACTAGCATCCTTAACTAGAACAGTTTTTCCAGGTTTTGAGTAGTTCCTATGAGAAATCTGAAGATTAGAAAGGGCATGCCAAGCCTGCCAAAATTTTCCCAATCAGAAAAACTCAGGGTGAGGTGGTAGAACAAGAGTTTGTGAACACCAAGAAGATAACACAGCATAAGGAATGGAACTTAGAATTTTTAGAAAAAAAATATATAAAGAAACACCTAAGAACCAAGTTTAAATGAAAATGGGATTACTCCTCATCCAACATGTTTACCTTTTGAACTTGTGCACTTGGTAATCTTCCAATATTCTGAATTCGACAAGCCATTGAGCTAAAAAGCATGAATAGAAGCACTCTTAGAAAATCAAAGTCCAAATGAACTCTGGAGATGTATCAAGTTGTATAAGCAATCCATGTGTATTACAAGTAATCGATATTTCTAAGAGAAAAATCCACAAGCTCAAGTAATACCAAAAACGAGGGGAATCCAGAGTCATGAATTAGTAAAATCGAGGAAAGCAGAAGAGTGGGGACTAACTCAAAATTAGCTGAAATAAACAACAAATCCTGTAATTAACTGAAACGCATTAGTTTTATTTATTTATTTATTATTATACCCCAACCAAATACCACAATCACCAAGTAATAAAATTGTTGTGCAGTTGTCACCAAATAACAAGTAATGCTGAATGTGATAACAGTAAAACATACCTCATAGCCGTTGCCTCTTGAGCATGAGGTTTTTGTGTTGGTAAGGAGAAAAGGAAATTTGAGCTCAAAACATTATTTGGGCTTGAGAAATTATCAAGTGCCTTGACATGTTCCAACAAACTAACTTTAAACGGCGTCTGGGCAGAGTTGGAACCTTGACCCAATTCGGTACGACTGCACAGCACATACCCGCAAACCAAAACCCACTCAGAATAATCAAAACAGGGAATATAATGGCTAAGTAAATGGCTATTGTCTTGCTACTCTTACTCTTGCCTCATATGTGATTCCCTCCTATGCATTGGTTTTGGTCAACATATTTGCATCTTCAGGCGCAAAGCGGCGTCTTCATACCAAAATCTTTTATGCAACACCTCCTCAATCATTCATTTGAATTAATTAATTAATTAATTAATAAAGGAATGTTCTTCACACACACCAAAAAAAAAAAGAATTCAAGCGTAAGGACAAATGTAGCAGATTTATTATGACAATTGAAGTTAGTGGAAGTGTTAATAAGAAGAAAGTTCATACCTTGAATTGCAATGATTCAAAGACGCCCTGATTACATGGTTGAGTGAGAGTGCGATGTCAAATGGAACCCTAGAAATGATTCAAACAGGTCACCTTGATTTTGGGCGCGCGTGTGTTTGTGAAGGGAGGAAGAAGAGAGAGAGAGAGAGAGAGAGAGAGTGAGTGAGTGAAGCGACCTTCAAAATAAAGCGCGGCGTGGGAGTGGCGGGGGATATTTTTAGCTTTTTTTCAAGCCTTTTTTGTTTGGGTAAAATGTGGGAACAAGCCCGAAACAATATTTGGTATTACGGGTGGACACGTTCTGGTCCGGTTTGACTTTTATCTCACATTGGAACATGAATCGGTACTATTCAATTGGTGTGATTCAGTCCAATTTTGGGGAAAAAAAATTTATGAAACCGACCGGTCCAATCTAAAACTGATTTCGATGCGATTTATGATTTTTTCCAATTTTGGACTGGATTTTTTTTTTTATATTTTACAAATTAGTTTTTTTTTATTTATAAATTTCAACTAAAATTTTATTTTTTAGACTTACAAATTCACAAATGACCCAATTTCATGTAAATAGAGATAATTGGGCCTAGAAAAGAGAGGTACTTTGAAGTTGGGCTTGGGTAAATATTCATGCAGCTTAAATAATTTTTAAAACAATAAAAAATAAAACACACCTGGTCCAGTTCGGTACCGGTTGTTGACTTTTCAGTCAACACAATTTTTTCCCATTTTTTCTATCCAATGCAGCTCGGTGTTTCGATTTTCCGATTTCGATGCGCACCCCTTTTGGTATCCTATCCAAATATGGAACTTAAAAACTGTGATTTTTCTTAAAAACAAAGAGTTCTCAAATTCATTTTTTAAGATTCAAAAAGTTGTTTGCAAGGTCTAAAATATTGGGAGTTTTGGAAATATCGATATCGATAAAAATTGAATAAAACCACAGAAATTATAAGAAAGACTTGGAAATTTTGATTGAAACTTTAGAGGATGTTTATTTAGTCAATTAGCTATTGTTTTATCACCAAAAAAATAAATTGGGAAGGAAATGCATTGCATGGTGGGTTTGACTGATTTAAGTTGATTGTATATCGAGCTGACAAACATTGTGCGAGTGTAGAAAATATGTAGTAATTAATGAAAGAAGATTAAACACACCATAATCATTTATTTATAATGATTTATTACAATATTTTACACTTTATACATTGCATGGTAAGATACATGAGTGACTTAGTACCACATAGAGTTCTTATGAGATTCAAAATTTTCATTGTCTTCTTCATCGTCTCTATATATAAAGTAAGTGTACTGTGAAGAGTATTCATCCAATGATAAATCCCCAAAATAATTTTGCATGTAATTGTTAACTTGCAAAATCATTCGAGGTTTGAGTCTCGGATTCTTTCTGTGGGCCGCTGAAGTCCATCCCAAAAGGCATCAAATCCCGTTGTGTATGTGCGGTTATGGTTTTTTTTATTTATTATTATTATCATTCTATGTGCATATCTTGATATTATCAACAATATCCCAATATTTTGTCCAAATGTTGTTGAAGAGAGAGAGAAATTCTCGGATCTGAAATTTTCCAGAAATTATCGATATTTATACGATAATTGCATGGATAGGTTTCAAATATTCTCCTCCCAAAAAAATGATAATATAATAAGTAATATTTCACCGATATTATCGATATTTTAGAATCTTTAAAATTTGAAAACTATTTTGATATTTTAGAATCTTTAAAATTTGAAAACTGTTTTTGAAACTTTAAAATTTGAAAACTTGTTTGGTTGAATTCTTAAATATATATTTTTTAATTTTATTTTTTATAATTAAGATATTTTTTATAAACATTATTAAAATTATATTAAACATATTATTTTAACATCCATATTTTAATACCATACATATATGATCAACAAACTCAATTGGTCTTCAAGTCTTAAATAATACATATTAAATTAAAACATTCTAGACTAAATAAATTCTAAGACTAATGATTCTGAATATAATCCATCCACATTGCTCTGCCTATGTGATCTCTAGCGTCACTCATTTCATTGGCATTGTCCTTATGCAAATGGATGTGTTCTTGATTCACTTTAAAGCTTTCTTCATCTACCACATGAAGATCATTGGCTTGATATTGATGAAATATGATGTCATTTCTTGATTGCATTCTAATGAAGTTGTACACGGTACAACAAGCAATGAGAATGCGTCTTTGTTTCCTGATTGGATAATTTGGCATTAACTTCATAATAGGAAAGCGAGTCTTAAGCACTGTGAAGCATCGTTCAATAACGTTACGTAGTGATGAATGCCTATAGTTGAATAATTCTATTGCCCCTCTTGGATGTCTGCCTCTCCCTCTATAATCATGCAAGTGATAACGCCCTCCACAATATGGTGTGAGGAAACCACGCATATTTGGATGACCATAATAAAAAAGATAATATTTTTCTATTTAAGAACAATTCATATAAGTATTTAACTCCATTTAAATATATATAAAATATATATTGTTAGTCGATATGTTTAAATAATTTCATACCTTTTTTAAGCAATGGGAAGTTGTTCTCTCAAATGAACATGCATACATAATATTTTGTGGCACCTGAACTTTTCTGCGTCAATACGTAACTTTTTAAAATTGACATAAAGGAATATGTAGCAGGAAACAATTGCACTTAACCAGAAATATAATATGTATTATTAAAAGTTAAAAGGGAGCAAAAAAAAATTGATTAATGGAATTTAGTGAAGGAAACATATATTTAAACATTTAAATTTATTGACTCTTAGACTACCACATACATGAATCAAACATTCAAAGAGGCGGAAGTGAATTTTAGTTCTTATTGAGCATAATGCTATCCAATTTCCCAAGTATCTTTATAGGTCTAATCTCATTCATGTAGAAAAAGAAGTGAGGAAATGATGAAGCTTTCCCCTTGAAGCTCTCTTGGTGGGTCTCCAAGTTTTCACCTTTGGAAAAGCCTTCTTCCATATCATCATGGATTCTTCACAAGGTACCCAAATAGCTACCTTCTAGTTCACTACACCAAATGTTTAGAGGATGGAAAAAGGAAACAACCAAGAGAATGGAGATGCTAGATTCCTTCTCTTGGTGACCGATTTTAGCAAAGGTGGAGGAGAGGATTTCTCATTCTTCTCAACACCACAACCCAATTTCTTAGAAGGCTCAAACCTTAACTTGAGAATAGCCTAAGTGTGGCTTCATTTATGCCAATACAAAGGACGAGGACAAACCCCAATAGGGAATTTTGGCCATAGTGTTGCTTGGGCTCCTCTTGGGCTAATTTAACTTGTGTTGTCATACAACACATATTCCTAGGCCCAACGGGTCCTTGGGCTATTTTGCCATTTGGCCCAAAATGTTTTAAAGACCATAGTCCGAATAGTTTGACTTGGTCAAACACCTTGACTTTGATTTGACCATTGACTTTAAACATCTTATTTTCTTAATTTATTTCTCAAGTTTCTTATTCTTCATTTGTTCTTCTAACTACATTTTTTGGTGTGCGATCCATAGGTTCCTTTTAGCGAGGCAGTGGGTTGTCTCAACTCCTCCAAGTTGATTGTGAATTAAATCCCATCATTTAATTCTTCCTATTAGTGAAGGCTAATTATAGTTGAACCTTACAAGAGTTCCACAAGCCATGGTTGACGCCTAGTAGCATGTCATGGTTATCCAAGCTAATTAGAAAAGGTGAAGAACCTTTTAAGTTGGAATTGTCATGCAATTGAGTCCTAATCCATATTATTAGGGTATGGATACTTTTGTCAAAACCCTAATATAAATTTTCCACTTATATGATTACATTGGTTATGTTTAGAAACTTCTTTTCTAATCATATCCGATACTTTGCAAAGATTTCCCAATCATATCTTTGGAGCATTCTCTCTCCTTACTAAGAGCAGAGATCCCTTGTTGTACATTCACTTGCCCTTGTGAGCTTGTCGAGAATCCTGAAAATCACCTTTGAGTCATTTTTCTTTCAATGGCCACATAGTGATATCAAAGACAAACAACTCATCCTGAAAATCACCTAAGTCAGTTGATGGTCTCATGGAGATGCAGATCAAACTGAAAGGGTGGAGCTTCCCACGCCTAACTCAGCAGATAGTCTTAAGGAGATTCAGATCATGCAAAAAGGACGGAGGTTTCCCGTGCCTAAGTCGGCAGATAGTCACAAGGAGATTCAGATCTTGCGGAATGGATCAGTGTTTTGTTCAGATGCTGAAGAACCTCTCGAATTCATCGTCTTTTTGGCTAGGTTAACGGGTAGGGCTGGTAATAGGTCGTGTCATGTCGGGTTCGTGTCATGTCAAGATTATATACGTGTTAGGAATGTTCAACCCAAACCCGACTCATTTAATAAACCTGTCATGCACGGGTTGACCCGTTAAGTTCTTGTGCGGGTTTCGAGTTGTGTCGGATTGACCCGCTAAGTGGTAGCAACTAAAAGATATTTAAAAAAATTAGAAAAATGAAGAATAAACAAATAAACAGGTTAGTGGGTTGGCAGGTTACACATGTATTTTAGCGGGTTGGCAGGTTGACTTGAAACCCACCCGTTTATTAAACGGGTCATGGCGAGTTAACCCGAAAATAACCTGAATTTTAATCGTGCGGGTTGAACCCGCTAAATTCTCATTTGGGTTTCGAGTCATGTAACGGGTTGTGCCCGAAATTGCCACCCCTAACGGGTAACCTATCGCTGAGTTAGTTACCATGTGCTCGGGGGTTGAGCATATCCCGGAGGATGCTAAGATGTTTACCCACCCTTACGAAAAGGGTGCCTTCCTCTAGCGAGGGTGACATGTTTACCCACCCTTACGGAAAGGGTGTCTTCCTCTAGCGAGGGTAACTATTTCTTGAAAACTTTGTGGAATGAAAAACTTGAACTTGTATTGATGTTTGTGTGATTACATCACTTTATTGAATGGAAATAAATGAATGAACTTGAAAAACATCAAAAGCAGCTTCTTCTTCAACTGAAGTGTAGAGTGCTTAGTCGCCTGCTGGTAAGAAGAGGCTCTACGGGTAGTACCTTCGGAGGTGATAAACATTCCATTGTCTTGAAACTTATTTCCCTTCCATGGTATCAAGTATATAGCTTCCTCCGCCCCCAAGTCCGCTGATCACATAGGGGCCTTCCCAACTAAGTTATATATTTTTTTTTTATCCTTGCCTTTACACTATG